ACTATCAAGGACATCTCTCTCAAACATTCCCCCTCTGTTCTGGCCCTAGTTGAAACCAAACAACCAGAGCCCACTTTGCTGCTCATACGCCAAGTTTGGGGTAAAAAACCTACCCAGTGGGTGGCTCTACCGGCGAAGGGTGCTTCAGGAGGCATCTGGGTGGTTCTGAATCTGTTGGAACACACCCTCATCTCCTCACATTTAGGGGACTACTCGGTCACCATTCTCCTCTTGGAAATTCACGGCCGTCTATGGGCCTAACTCCTCGCTCAGACACTGACCCGAGGCCTAGAATGGCTGATCTTGATTTCGTGCCTTTAACTGAGGACTTAGCTGTTTCAATAGAGCAACCTTTCTCTGAGGATGAGGTCTTACAAGCTTTAAAATCCCTTGCCATTGATAAAGCCCTTGGCCCAGATGGATTCCCGATTGCACCCTTCAAAACTTCTGGGGTACATTTCGTTTCGACTTCCTCAATTTCTTCCAGGAATTCTTCCAAAGGGGAATCATCCATAAAGCCATTAATGCCACCTTCATTGCCCTTGTACCTAAAGTCGAAGGGGCTGAGGAAATCAAGGACTTTCGACCAATTAGCCTCCTAAACTCGACCTTCAAAATTCTGGCTAAGGTCCTTCCCTTTAGACTCCGATAAGTCCTCCTTACAGTGATCTCTCCTTCCCAATCTACTTTCATTCAAGATAGACAGATTCTGGATGGGGTCCTGGTAGCCAATGTGTGTCTCCACTCGAGACATTTAGCCAACAAACCAGCTTTAATTTTTAAAATAGATTGGGAGAAAGCTGATGACCATGTCGACTGGTCCATCCTGGAAGAAACCATGGTGAGAATGGGTTTCAGGGAACGTTGGAGAAGTTGGATGAGGGGATGTTACTCTTACCCCCATCTATCCATTCTCATCAATGGTCACCGAAAGGCTACTTCCCAGCTCACGGGGGGCTTCGCCAAGGGGATCCCCTTTCCCCCTTCCTTTTTGCCATAGTCGCAGAAGTCTTCTCTAGATCTCTCTACTGCCTTTATCGGTTTGGCCTCCTCTTTGCTTTCACTACTAGTAATCAGGGTCCCACGGTGTCACACCTACAGTACACAGATGACACCTTGGTCTTCCTTGACGCCTACCCAGAGGAAATAGACACACTCAAACTCTTCCTCATGTGCTTTCAGAAAGCTACATGATTCAAAGTTAACATGAAGAAATCCAAAATGATGGGGGTTGCCATGACAAATGCAGAGGTTCGTTCCCTCATCCCAGACTGGGACTGCAAAGTGGAAGATCTCCCTTCCACCTACCTGGGCCTTCCTTTGGGGCTAGGGAAACCCAAAAAATGACTCTGGTCCCAGGTCCTAGACAAAGTAGAGAGGTGCCTTGCCACTTGGAAAGGCAGATATCGCTCCCCAGCAGGCAGAGTAACTCTAATCAAGGCTACTCTGGCAAACACCCCGGTCTACTTCATGCCCATGTTCTAGATGCTAGCACAAGTGGCCAACCGCATAGAACAACTTATGCGAAACTTTCTTTGGTTGGGCCAGGCAGAGAAGACCAAATTCCACCTTGTAGCATGGGAAAACATCTACCTACCAAGAAAGCAAGGGGGTTTAGGGATTCGAACCCTCAGAAAACATAACACTGCTCTCTTAGGCAAATGATGGTGGCACCTAGCCACTCAACCAGAATCTCTTTGGGCTCAGGTGTTGTGTACCAAATACAATATACAAGATGAAATTTGGGTACGAGACAGGATTCGAAAAACACAGGGCGTCAGATGTGTGATCGTCCTTAGCCTCATCACTGCCACAGTTCAGAAGGCACATTAGATTCCATGCTAGAGAAGGCCTCAGGGTCAAATTCTGGATAGATCTTTGGCTTGGCACGTCTCCCTTGTGAAAGGCTTTCCCTACCCTCTTTTCACTCTCCCCTGACAGAAACTCCACCATCGCCGAGGAAATGCCTCTCTCTGATGGCCGTAGAACCTGGAATCCCTCTTTTTGTAGAAACTTCTCAGTTGATGAGAGCATTCAGTTCCAACAACTTCTGCGTGCCCTTTCCTCTCATTTCCTCCCATCTTTGGGGAGTTACACTATTGTATGCAGTCTTTCCCCCACAGGCCTCTTTTCAGTAGCTTCTTTCTACAAAATTCTCACCCAACCCCCAACCCCCAACCTTCCCTCTCAATCCCACCTCTATTATGTCAAAAGTGTGGTCCACTATCGCCCCACCAAAGATTCAATTTTTTAGTTGGATTGCTTGCTCTCAAATAGCCCTCACAGTTGACCAATTACAAAAAAGAGGCCTCTCCACACCCAACAGATGTGCTCTATGTCTTTGCACGGAGGAATCTAACCCCCACCTTTTCATCCTTTGTGACTTTTCCATAAACTTTGGTCCCATGTGCTTCAACTTTTTGGTATCCAATGGGTCACCCCACCCACGGTTCGTGCTTTGATCACTCACAACTTTGATTCACAGTGGCCCTTGGCTGGAAAATCATTATGGAAGGCTACAATGGCTGCCACCATTTGGACTTTATGGTTGGAAAGGAATAACATAATTTTCAATGGTGCTCAACTACTACCACCAGCTTTTTCCACAAGATTCTCTCTGACCACGTTTTGGGCTTCAAATCGCAAGACTTTTTCGGGCCTCTCTCGGAACACCCTTCTCTCTCAATGGAAAAATGTCCTTAATCACAGGCCTGCCAAACCCCTAAGAGCTAACAACTGACAACCACCACCAGATGGCAGCATCAAGCTTAACTTCAATGGCTGCTCTCTAGGTAATCCTGGCCCTTCAGGCGCAGGGGGTGTTATCAGAGATTGCCAGCGAAACGTCCTCTTCACCTTTTTGGTGCATCTCGGGATCTATGATTCCCAATATGCAGAAGCTATGGCTCTACTATTGGGTTTGAGAAACCTCAATCCATCTTGGGGCACAACACTGATTGTGGAAGGAGATTCCTTGAACACCATCTCTTGGGCAAGAGGCTTGTCCCCTCCACCTTGGCAGCTGTCCTCCATCTTTGATGAAATTTCCCATATCTGCAGGGGTACGAGCGTCTCATGGTAGCATATTTGGAGGACGTCCAACAATCTCACAGATCTACTGGCGAAGGAGGGAGTTTGCTTACATATGGATCTCGAAGTCAGGTCCAACTACTTTTTTGTTCAAGATCACAGTCGTACTACATAGACCGTCTTCATACGAGCAAGCCATAGCTCAGTTTTTATTTTTGTAAATCTCATTGTAAATCTTGTAACTTGGGCGAATCTTATAAGCCTATACCGAGAATGGATGACTAATGTATTTTTTACTGTTAGTCACCCTGTGAGGGTGCCTTCAGTCCTACATCCTGTAAACTTTTACTCTCTTAAGTAATACAATGTTAACAGTTGTCAAAAAAAAAAAACATTCCGCCCATAGAGCAAAGCTGGTCTCACAGCTGTCCTATAGAACTTGCCCCTTAGCTTCATTGGTATGCGGCGATCTCATAGTTATCGGGATCTCCTACTTTGGTAGGCGATCCCTTCTAAGATCTCGATTCTGTCGCTCCCATAACATATCTCTTAGGGATCTTGATTTTTAAATTTTGGGATCTCAATTCTTGTTGTTAGGGTTCTCAATCCCAACCTTAAAACTCAAGACAACAACCAAAGTGATGATTTTTTTTGTTTATCGCCAGCTAGTAGCACAACCATACTTTTAAGATAGTTGCATTGCTTGCTTTCTATAAATAATGAGATCCCTACTGTAAAGAGTGTACATAATCCGAGATTATCGTGCATTTTAATGTTAATAGCAAGATCCCCAAAAAATTAGGATCAAGGTCCCAAAAGGTCGTGATCAAGATCCCCAAAAGATTGGAATATCAATCCATGACGTATGTGTTGTACGGACGGCGTTCCCAGCCATAGGGATCTTCTAGGATTCCACGATCCCACTCTCCCGATCCCAACAACTTTGGGCAATCTAGTGTTGAAGGATGATGTTTTTTTTTTCTGGGCTTGTTATGTCATTGGATTTAGAGAGGGAGGCAGGGAGGGAGGGGGATATATAAAAAACTTGGCATCAAAAATTTCTCTTGCAATAAATGTATGCACACATAAATATTCTCAAGGACATTGTTTTGGTGCAACGGTGTTGCTAGCTGCACCCCAGTTTGCCATGTTTTTGGATGTTTTAGGACCGAAAAAGCTTGGAAATCATTCTGAAATCTTGGTGACAAAATATTTCGTTTGTTATAGAGATGTATTTATTTATTTATAAATGCGAATAATAATGTTCTCAAGGACAATGTTTTGGTGCAACTGTCTCAGTTGCACATGTTCTTGGAATTTTAGGACCCAAAAAGCTTGAAAATTATTCCCTAACTCACCATGATTAATGTCCTGAAGAAAGGCATTTGGAGCCCTATTTATGCTTCATGTCCACCATTATCCAGAAATCTAATCTGAACTGTCTTTGATGGTTGACAGATCAAACATGCCAGCTTTTTAATAGCTCTGAGTCCTTGTTTTTTTTTTTTCTTTTTGGGGGGGGGGGGGGTAAGGAGGAACGTGCAATAGACAACTATTTGCAGATGCTTTCAAGCTTTTTGGCCATCAAACTATTTATTGATGTGTTTATGCGCTTATAGATGCTTGATAACTTGCTTTTTCATATGTATTTGCTGAATCTGTAAAGAAAGAGCAAAGGAAAACTTTATATACTTGCCTTGTCAACTGGGGTGGGCCAAGCTTGGGTACCTGAACATGCTGATATACTTTTCTGTGTGTTGTACTGTGATACACATTGAGCCACCGATCTCTTCAAGTATGCTGTGTTAACTACTGAAATTCATCTATAGTTCAAACAGATATGCTACAATGTTGATTTTCATCATCATCTTCGTCATCATCATCCGAGCCTCATCCCATCTATTTGGGGTCAGCAACTGCCTTGCTTTATCTGAGCATTTATTGACACATTCCTATGTGATGTAATGTAGGTATGCCGTGTTCTTATTTTCTAAGAACCGTGAAGAACTTGTAGGGGTTTATGCCTCACAGCTTGCACCCTACCTTTGTGTTGAACTGTTTGTGCATATGATGGAACTAAGACTGAATGAAAGGTGACTTTCTAATCTATAGGCAGAAGGATGGTTTACCATTTAACTTCTCTTTTCCTTTTTTGGCCATGGGGGGTAAGGAGGTGGTTTTTTTTCTCCAAGTTTTTTGGGGGTTGGGGGATGGAGACAGTTTTCTTGCATTTGTACTCATTTTTGTTCTGTCACTGTGAACAGTGTGCATGTGAAGTATAAGATCTTCCGATCTGCCATGGAGTACTTATCTTTCTTTCCAGGAGATGCTTCAAAAGGTTGTGTTTCAGATATTCTTGAGCGGTATGTTCATTCTTCTTCCAGTGTCTTTTTCATTTTTCTTTCCATCTGTGGTAAGTACATTGGTAGGAAGATACTTACCAAAATAATGGCGAAGAATATCTAGAAAACATTTGAGGAAACTATTTACTCACCAAAAAGAAAAACTAAAAGATGAGCGAAGTTTTATTAATATTTTCCTAAAAAAAGAAGTTTGGAATATGGTATTGTCTTTGCCTATGGCATGGTCTCGACAGGGTTCTTTCAAGATCACGTGAAATTAAACGTAAAGACGAGGTGCAGTCAAATTCTGTTGCAGAGCAACATCGCCTGCAAAGTTTGCAGAAAGCCATGGTTGTTCAGTGGCTCTGCTTCACTCCACCATTCACCATCAACGATTTTGAAGCTATTAAGGCCAGGCTGCTTATGAGGGCATTGATGCATAGGTAAACTCTTTCATGTGTTTGCTTTCAGTATGTGCTTATATACTCTCTTCACTACCCAACAATAAAAGAAATATCTTGTCTTTTCTATGTTTTAGTTGTACAGCCTGAACTGTAATGCTGAAATGTCAGATTTAGCCTTCTGTAAATGTATGGAATATTTCGTGTTTTCTTTTGCGCTTCTGTTTCAGGAATCATGAATTGGAGTTTGTTTGTGCTTTTCCAGCATTGTCCTTCTCAGAGAGTTTGCTCTGATATCCATGTGGAGGGTGCCAAAACTGCCAGTAGGTGCACACATGCTATTGAGCTTTCTTGCGGAGCCGCTGAAACAACAACCAATAGATACCCTTCTTTCCATTGATGAGCATGACGTCTCACAGAATATTGTCGAGTTTGAAGATTGGGTATGTGCACATGTCTCAGTTACTTAAAGGAAAGATAGGGCATATTTCATTGTATTATGTATGATTGCAAACTGAGTTACTTCAATGCTTCATTTCTTGATTGCAGTTCTTTATCTTGTAGTTCAGATATTGGGAATATGTCTTGCCGTTTGTAATTATCCTTTTGTTACCAGAAAGAGTACTATTCTTGTGATGCAACGTACAGAAAGTGGCTTAAGGCTGATCTAGAGAACACGGATGTTCCTCTCCTTGATCTTTCCCTAGAAGAAAGAGAAAAAGCTATTGTTGCTGCAAAAGAAGCACTGAGTGCTGCGCTGGCTTTGTTACAGAGTATGTCTGTTAATATCATGGGAGTTGCATCTCTTCAATTGCTAGTACAGTGCAGTAATTGCCTTTCGTTGAACCAGCACAATGTCCACTTCACTAGCCTCCCCACTCGATTATTTCCGCTCAATGTCCAAAATTGCTTATGTTATTATATAAAAATTCCACTTAATAGCTTAGACCATCTGTTAGACATTTTACTATGTTGTAGTAGAGTTTGGCTGAATATTTTTTTGATAACGGTTTGGCTGAATATTTTAATTTAGTAACTTGATGTATGACCTGACTGTTGTTTGAGCAAATTGCCCAATCAATCAGAGATGAGTTTTTTGTTTCTGTATGGCAAACAATTAAGAAAAATAACAAATGGTCATACTAACTTAGAAAACAAATAAACAAATTGAATATCATCATCAAGCTTTATCCCAATTATTTACGTCGGCTAAATGTACAAAGTGAATATATATTTCTAGAACTTCGTGGAACATTATTGGGAATATGGCTTTGATGCGTTGGGTGAATCTTCGAGAGCAAACCATCTCAAATCTCAATAGGGAAACTTAGGATTTATGGTACGATTTGCTCATGTCTGTCATCAAAAAGAGTTCTATAGAAGTGTCTTTTAATACCTAATAAAACTCATGCATCTTGACTAAAAGCTCCTCATAACTGGTCCCGTTGTTAATTGGTGGATTTAGAGTTCTGCCTAAGAGGCGCTCTGAGAGGAGCCCTATCTGAGAGGAGTTTTGTCTGAGAGGAGCTCTATCTGTGGAGGTGGGCATGCCCCTTCCACTGAGTATGCTCACCTTCTCAAACTGATGCAAATTGAATTTGGAAAGTTGGTTTATTTCAAACTTTATTCTTTTAATGAGGGGCATGATTGTAATTTCTGATTATTTATTGGATGAGTTGCGACTTAAGTAAAAAGGGGCTGGCAGGGAATTTCTTTAGACAATTACATAGGATGGCCAATTGCTACTTTAATGGGAGTGATGTGATTCTCTAGTAGTTAGGATATAGTAATAGTAGTCATGGGGAGGAGGTAGATAAGGATAGTGCTTGACTTGGAGGGAAATTTCCTAACCATTCGGGAAAGAAGATCTATGTGAGATTGAGGGGGGGGAGGGGGGGGGAGAGATTAATGTGAGATTGATGGTGAGGAGAGTTACAGAGAGAGATAACGTGGAGCAGGGAGAGTGTTTATGGGTTTTTCTTGTTTATTTATTTATTTTTTGTCGTATATGGGAAAAACATTTGGTAATGTTTGTAGAGCGAGTTTATTTTCATAAAGAAAAAAGAGGTTCTTTTCCTTGCAACCACTTAGTTTATGGAGATCTTTCCACTGAAGAATTTTTGGACTGGTTGAGCACGGTTGAGTGCTTCTTTGATTGGAAAGAATTTTCCGATTCAAAGAAGGTCAAACTTGTGGCTCTTAAGCTTATTAGAGGACCTGCATCAATGTGGTGAGATCAAGTTCAGGAAGCACTGGGCCGAAAGGGCAAAGAAAAAATCAAATCATGGGTCAAGATGAAAGCAAGGATGTGTGACCAGTTTTTCCCACTGAGCTATTTACAAACATTGTACCAATTGTTTCATAGGTTACATCAGGGTACAAAATCCGTTCACGGTATATAAAGGAATATTACCGCTCAACCTTGTGCAATGGGTTAGAGGAGACCGAGGATCAAAAGGTGGCGCATTATGTTTCAAGGTTGTGGAGTTCAATCCAAAATGAGTTTGCCTGGCATCATATGCCTCGGTTGGAAGCGGTCTATCAGGCCACCTTGAAGGTGGAGGACTGACAAAGAAAAGGGGCAGCCACACTCCGTACCACACTTGGAGCGAGATCATCACAAACTGGTTGCCGGTGCCCCCAACCCGGGGAGTTTCTGTAGCAAAGATGGCCCAGCTACTGGCACCCGAGCACGAACCCAAGCATGAACCCGAGCCCAAGAGGTTGCTGGTCCAAGGTGTTTTAGGTGTAATGAGGTGGGGCACCAAGCTGCGAAGTGCCCATTGAATACGGCCCAACGCCATGCGAACTTGGTAGAACCCGAATATAGGAGGGGAATGCCATGAAGAACACCCTGTGATTGAGGCTGATTTTGATAAGTCGATGAAATGATGGCTGATCAAGGCGATACCGTGCTAGTTTGACGTGTTCTCTCATGGCCATGTGCACCTCAAGAAGAGCATTGGTTGAGGACTATCATATTTTGCACGCGATGTACGTGCAATGGCAAGGTTTGCAACATCATCATCGACAGCGAGAGTTGCGAGAACATGGTTCCTTAAGGGATGGTAGACAAGTTGCATCTCATAGTTGAAAATCATCCAAATCCTTACAAGGTCACATGGTTCAAGCGCAGGGCCGAGGTGCTTGTTACTTCTCGATGTCTAATCAAATTTTTGTTGGTAGTTTGTATAAGGATGAGGTTTGGGGTGATGTTGCACCAATAGATGCTTTCCACATACTCCTAGAATGCCCCTGGCGGTATGATCAGAAGACCATCCATAATGGTGAATGTAACACCTATACTTTTTGGAAGGATTATCGCAAGGTGGTATTCTTACCCTTGTGTGAGGAAACTCCACCCAAGTCTTCTAAAGAGGAGGGTGCGGGCTCTTCTCTCACTCTAACAGTTATGGAAGTGAGTGAGGAGATCAGGATGATTTATGCATTTGTGGGAAAGGAATTGGGGGTGCTAGTTTCAGTGCTCGAAGCTTGTGCCAGATGAGTTTCTTGCTGGCTTGCCACCTATAAGGAGTATGTGAAGGAAACATACATAATTGTGTGAACTATTGAGGAATCAAACTTATGAGCCATACTATGAAGCAGTGGAGAGAGTGATTAAGCAACGACTAAGGCATGAAACGAGTGTATCATAGATTTATTTCCGGTTTATGTTAGGGAGGTCAACGACTAAGCTATTTTCCTACTTCAGCAATTGATAAAGAAGTTTAGAGCGAAGGGAAAAGACCTAAACATGATCTTTATTGATCTAGAGAAAGCTTATGATAGAGTACCTCGAGATTGATTTGGTGTGTATTGGAAAAGACATTAATCTTTAGACACTACATTGACTTAGTGAGATATACGTACGGGGGAGTACTAACTAGTGTGTGAACAACTAGTGGAGATTGGCAAAATAGAGAGATTGAGGAAGATGTCGCTCATAGAATTAGAGCTGTATGGGCAAAGTGGAGATCGGCAACTGTTGTTTTTTGTAATCGTTGCATACTAATGAAGTTGAAAGGAAAGTTCTATAGGACATTTGTGAGACTAGCTTTGCTTTATGGGGCGGAATGTTGGGCGGTCAAGAAACAACATACCCATAGAATGAGTGTAGCTAAGTTGAGGATATGGAGATAGATGAGTAGCAAGACAAGAAGGGATAGAATTCACAATGAATACATTCAGGAGAATTTAGGTGTGGCACTAATAGGTGATAGGATGAGAGAAATTAGACTTTGGTGGGCTGACAATGTACGGCGCAATTCCAGTGCGGCGCAGTTCCAGTACAACACCTGTTAGGAGATGCAAATTAGTTCAAGTGGAAGGCACAAAAAGGATAAGGGGTAGGCCCAAAAGGACATGGTTGGAAGTAGTGAGAAAAGATATAGGAACTTATGGCTTGATTGAGGCTATGGCCCTTAATAAAGCTGAATGGCAGTCCAAGATTCATGTAGCGGACCATGATGATATATATATATATATATATATATATATATATATAGTAAGTAAC